AAAAAAAAATTCAAAAAGCGATAATAAATAGGAAATAAAAACAGACCAACATATCGCATTTCTCTTAGGATTCTCAGGGATAAAACCCTAACCCCACTAAATACTTGTTATGGTTGGAGCTCAACTTCTGTAAAACTCAACTAACAACAAGCAGATATAAACAATAGAGATCAAATATGGAGTTCTTTCAGCTGATGAGCTGAAATTATAACCAAATAAAATGAAAAAAGAATTGGGGAGGGTGAAATGTTAAAAAGTAAGAAGAATTAGAGAGAGAAAGCTGAATTGATAAATCAATTCAGAGAAGAGGAAGAGAAAGCAGAAGAAAAACAGAAACATCAGAGAGGAGAAAACAGATACATAGAAGGAAGAAGGGGAGAAGAATTCAGGTAAGAGAAGAAGAGAGAAGATGGGGAAGAAATAGCAGAAAGATCCATAGCAAGAACGAGAAGAAGGAAAGAAGAAGAACCCAGAAGAAGAGAGAAGAAGACCGGAGAGGAACTGAGGAAGCCACAATTTAATTCATCAAATTCATCGTTTATCCAAACTTTACAATACAATCCTATATACAACACCCTGAAAGTAAAGGGCTTTGGGCTAGCCACTAATAATACAAGCCCAAAAGAAAATGGTCCAATTACAAAAGGTACCACAAGAGTTAGCCATGACATCCCTTCCCCTTAAATTAACCTTGTCCTCAAGTTCAAAGTCGGGATGTCTTCTTTGTATGCTGTTAGTAGCTATCTCATTCTCTTTACCACCCTTGGATTAAGCAAGTAGTGCATGGTGGAATATGTATGGTTAACATTATCTGCACCACCTTCAACCAACATTGCTTTAATCAACTACTCACTTTCTGATTTTTGAATAAAAGGGGATCTATAAGGCCTTAGTCTAAATTGTTGTTCTCCCTCTTTTAATGGAATATGGTGGTCATGTGACCTAGGAGAAGGTAACCTTGTTGGTTCTTAAAAGACCTTTGGAAATCTTTTGATGACCTCCAACACTTACTCAAGCATATCCTCACCCTTCTCCTCTTTGATATGGTATAGTTGTCCAACTATCCCATAAGGATCCTTTCTAAACATTCTTCTCATCTCCTTAATCCCAATCATTTTGGCAAGATATTCAAACATTCCACTCTTCAATTCTATCACTTTACCATTACCCTTGAACTGGATGCACCCTTGTATAAAATCAAATGTAACAAGGCCAAATTGGCACATCCAATTTACCCCTAGTACCATGTCACTCCCTGCTAGCTTAAGTGTCATAAGTTTGTATTGAAACTCCCATCCCTATATTTTCCTCATCACTTGGTGACATAAGGCGTTACTTCCAGTTTATCACCATTGGCTACTCTAACTATCACTTTGCTAGTTTCATCGGTGACATATTTCAATTCTTTTGCTAACTTTTCCTCAACAAAACTAGGGGTACTCCCACTGTCAATGAGTATGGAGACTTTCCTCCCTTTGATCACTCCAGGAACTCTAATGGTTTGGTGTTGCCACCTCCCAGCCATTGCCTTCATGGATATCTCCATGATTTCCTCACTTTCCGATTCTCCTTCGGACTCATAGCTTTTATCTTTATTTGATCCGAGTTGTTTAATTTTGCTAAATGTCTCAATCACTTCTTCCTCAATAATTTCTAAAAACCTCCTGTATAGCTCATCAAAAAACAAGCTCCAGTTTACTCCAAGGTGATTGGCAATGAATCCATAAAACCATATATAAACATTCCCTTCCAAGTACTTCTCAACCATTCCTAGCCCGAGTTCACCAGAAATCTGATGGAGTTGGAAGTAGTTTCTGGCTTCCATAAGCCATTCTCTAGGTCCTTCTCCCTCAAATTGAGGGAAATCAATTCTAGGGAGTCTACCACTTCCCTTAAATTCACCTCTAGCATGAGCATCATCTTCATTACTACTATCCACTTGTGTACAAATCACACTCCTAGACCTCCAATTAATAACCGACCCTTCTATCACTTTGTTCTTATGTTCTGTATTTAGATCTAAAGACATTTGGGCCATCATGTTCTTACAATCACTGCCCAGAACTATTACGTTCTCCACACTGAAGTTTTCTTCATCCTTCTCGACACCTAAATCAAATTCCAACTTTTCAAAACTACTCTCCACAATTGTTTTCGTCTCAACTACACGCTTGGTAACTACAACAACTAAATCGTTGTCTCCGTTCAAATCGTAACAAGTGACCTGCTTTACCAGTTTCTCTTCTGGTTTAGAATCTGAATAGTCCATTTGCATTTCAGAAGACTCGGCTATTTTTGGGTAATGTATGGACTAGTCTTTAGAGGCTGATTTAGCCTCAATTAATTTCAGCCATCACTGAAATCAGTAACTCATCTTCCGATTGATTTCTTCCATTATGCTATCCAATCGAGAGACATCTAAGGACTGTAGCTGCTCCGATACCATTTGTTATGGTTGGAGCTCAACTTCTGTAAAACTCAACCAACAACAAGCAGTTATAAACAGCAGAGATGAAATATGGAGTTCCTTCAACTGAATGAGCTGAAATTATAACCAAATAAAATGGAAAATAGAATTGGAGATGGTAAAATGTTAAAAAGTAAGAAGAATTAGAGATAGAAAGTTGAATTGATGAATCAATTGAGAGAAGAGAAGGAGAAATCAGAAGAAAAACAAAAATAATAGAGAGGAAAAAACAGAGTCATAGAAGGAAGAAGTGGAAAAGAATTCAGGTAAGAGATGAATCCACGTGAGGTCCACCATCGCGGACTCCAACCCATGTGAGGGTTGTCAAAGTGAAAGTACAAAAATGTTAGTATTCAAAAATTTTCAATGGCGTTAACTGTAAGCGTCGATCGTCAATTGAAATTGAAGGAACATGATTCAATTCGGAAAAATAATAAAAGGAAACGATTTTCAAGCCAACAAAAATCTTGGCCACGAATGAGAAACAATGTCAGCGTCGGGTCTGTTAGGAATTCAAACTCCAAGAAGGCAATACGCTGGTACATAGACTATTTGTGTTTAATACCGTTCCTTTTTATATAGGGCATTGTTTAATTTGTACGTTGATGTTGGCGGTGGCTTCAATTGGTTCTTAGGCACTGTTTAACAGGTAATTTGACATTGGGTGTGGCTTCAATTTGTTCTTAATTATTCGTTAATCCCTTAATTTTGTGAATTACGCTCATTCTGTATGGGTTCTCCTCTACTTGGCATCAATTTACATTGAACAACGTGAATATGTATAATACTTCTCTTCTAAGCATTATTTCTGAGCTCCTTCTGTAATAGGGCTGCTTGTTGGGATGTTGCTTTATTCTAATTTTTAGATTTTCTTGCGTTCAATTTACAATCGTACTTGTATTGTTTTTCGAAGAAACATTGTGGCTTCTTGTTCAATTCTTTAGGTTTTAATATTTGTATTGACTCTCTAGTTATTTGATTTAATATTTGTTCTTTGGGAAATTAGTTCAAAGAACCATTTTTCATTTGTTATTATGTCTTTTAAATTTTTCATTGCTTGGTTGGCAATATATCATCTCCTCTGCCAACTGGTTTTCGGGGAAAATAGCCATTTGTTCTATGAGTAATGCTATTCGTGGTCAACGACTGCAATAGTCATCCTTACATGACAGCTTTTTATTGAAGGCATTAGCTTATTATTTGAGGCAACAAAATTATACGAAATTAATGCCGCTACTAACAAGCCGCCACATGGGATGACTACTACAGTCGATGACTATAAATAGCATTATTCTTTGTTCTACCACCAACTTCATCACGAACTTGGTATAGAACCTGACCGAGGAATGGGAGATATTTTTATAGATACAAAATTTTCATACTATATTAAATGTAATGAAATCTCATTTCAGCCTTAGTTGATACACTGTATTGATGAGGGAGGTTAAGCAACCGAATAAAGAGAAAATGTGGTTCAAGATTGCCGATAGATACATCAAATTTTCTTTGCTAGAATTATTATACATTGTCATCGGTCTATAATCCGACAGAGATGATGACGGGAAGAAGTATGTAAAAAGGATCTTCAAATATCAACAACACATACTAGAAATTTAGAATTTTAACAAATGCTAACGTGAAAGATGTTTTACTCGGCTTGTATGGTGCCGTGAAAATAGGAATGTAATACCTGTTTACATCGTACTTGTATGCTACCTCGTACAAGAAAATGGTTAACAAATCACTTTTTGCTGTTGAAAATTTCAAAGTAATAGAGACGATTTCATGGAGAAAAGTTGTTCAAGACTCGACTATCATCACTCTAGGAAAGGACTTGAAATAGGGCTGGTCACTACCATATGAAATGTTTTTCGATTGCATTTCCAAGTCTAGTAGTATGAGTCAATTCTGAGTTGAATGGAACATTTGCAGAAGACTTCATCGACGGTTGCCCCGCATCATGAACACGGCAAAGAAGCATCCATCGGTAGCCACGCTGGAGGAGGAAGTTTTTTCCAAACTTGATGTAAATGTTTTAAATACGTGACTATTGTTCATTCTTATATTTGTTGAGTTTCACATCCTTTTGAAATTAATTAATTAATTTTTTTTCAGTATTTGCCCTGTAGATTGAAGTTAAGGATATTGATCCCTTGGATATTGAGTTGTTGATGGGATACGACTGGATGTTCTTACACGTCACCTCAACAATCATATTCGATCAAGGATGTTGATGTTGAAGAACCACCCGTGCAAAAGCTCAACATGAATTCAAACTCCTCATTAAGTAGCATGGTTTGAATCTGTTATTTTTTATTACGTGTACCTTTTTAATTAATTGCAAGAAGATGTTGTGACCTACTAATTTTTATTCCATGTAAATGTTGCAGCGCCTGGATATATATTTTTGTTACATCTATCAATTGGCAAGATTCGAGATAATGTTCAACAGCATTTTGAGGCTAAGATCAGGAACATGTATTTCTAGTTTCTTAAAGATCCTCACCAACAATGCCAAATGGTGAATTAGCCTTTAACAAAAGCATTTCTCCATGAATTTCACAAACTCATTAAAATTGATTAGTCCATCGCCATTTTCATCAAAAGCTCTAATCATCCTTCTGCATTCTTCTAATTCACACCCTTCCTTTAGGTCAAGGCTGCACATAACTCTCTGCAGCTCAGTAGCGTCTATGAAACCATCTTTATTCACATCGAAAACATTGAAAGTTTCCTTAACTTCTTGCAAACTGGGTTCTTCGTCAAATAGCACCGAAAACTCGTCTAAACCAATATTCCTGTCTCCTCCATATTCTGCACACACTATATTTAGCCTATTCATCACCATATTCAGCTCTGTGTTATGAAAGATTTCGCTATTTGAGGTCTTGGGAATTTGTGATTCTTTGTTTGATTGTTCACCGTCAAATGCTTTGGCTTTCCTCCAAAGGTTCCATTTGGTAGATAAAAACTCTGGAAGAGTTTGGAGAAAGAAATGGACACGTGAAAAGAATTTCACAATGTCCAAACAAAGAATTCTAGTTAGTAAAACGATCAAGGATGAAATGGTGTTTGCATGTGTCAACTCCATATCGAAATCAATGATGCTTCTTGTTTTTTTTGGGGGTGAACAGAACTTTATATGATTTCTCTTATTTCGTCATCACAACATGCTGGTATTTATAAACTATACCTAAGGGATTAGGTTAACTTTGATGATGTGTCAGATTATTACAACTTTGATGATGTCAGATTATTACATAAGAAATTTTGGGTTTGGTCTGCTTCTGTGCGTGAATAATGAGTATGGAAAGTTTAGGATTTCATGGCACAAAATTTCCAGGAAATGTTAATGATGGAACACAGGAAAAAGTTAAATCTGTCTCCTTTCAGGGAAGCTGTGTGAATGCGGATGGCCTGCAGAAACACGTCTGTAGAAAGGGAGTAAAATGTTATGGAACTTTCTTGGAAATATTTTTTCTTGTTCAAAATGTTTACATGAAATTTCTCTGACTTTAATCTTACGTATGTTTCTATGACTTGAATCCTACGTGTGTTTTGATGACTTTAAACAAAAAATGTTCTCTTTTATTGAATCCTACGTGTGTTTCGATGAATTGATCAGGTTCAGACTCTGACTCTACACGTGTCTATGAATTCGTCGGACTCTAACTCGGCACGAGAGACATTTAGATCAAAATTCAATCAATTTGAAGAACCAGCACCACTCACCATGTGTTCAATTTCGACTTTATTATTATAGCGTATAGTCATACATAGACTAAATGGAATGTCCCAATCCACTTTATATTTAACTAAAATGTAGGATAAATATAATAACCTAAATTATAAAAAATCGATATTTGATGTGCATAAGCAATACTTTAACCTTGATAATTTCTATTTTTTATTTGTGTTATAGTCAAAATTAATTGACAAAATAAATCTTGGTCGGTTGTCTTTCTTATTTTAATGCAATCACATTATGGTAAGTCTACAAGTCTTGCAGAAAATTGGATTTATAAACAAATGGTTAGTATAGTCAAGCATTTCTGCGTCGCCCCTTGAAATTTGTTTGTTTATATTTTTTAATGATTTTTTTTTAAATTTTTAATTGATTTTAGGTTAGGATTCGTTAGTGGTGGAAATGGACCGAGTCGGCGCATGAGCTCGTCATTTTTTTTTTAAGATAAACTTTTTATTTTTGCTCAGCTCGTGGGCGAGCCAACCTGCTCAGCTCGTGCGCATGTCCGTCATTTGACGTGCCTAGGCCGCCCACGAGCCAAGCGGTCGAGCCGACTAGTCGCTGGCCAGTTTGCCACCACTAGGATTCGTGGAATCATGCATGTTCAGACACCATTATGCATTTTACTTCTCAAACAAAGTAATTGAGAAGAAAAATGCTAAAGTCAAGAGAATTGCTTGATAATTGCGCTGGACATTAAAGCAAATAGCAATAATCGTTTTTCCTAATTGTTGTTTGCCTAAATTTTTGTTTCAGAATAGTTTGACGGCAAAAATGTTATTTCCTAAAAGTTAAAGTACTAAATTGCTATTTTGTATCACTCGGAAGATGAAATTATTGTTTTCCAACAACTGCAGGGCTAAAAGTATGGTTTGGATGACCAAATTAATATTTTATAAAAGTTTGTGGACTGATTTGGTTTTAGTAAATACTTCGAAGACAATTCACTAATTCCTCATAGGTGGACAACTCAATTCGAGATTACTCATAGTTGGATGACCGAATTAATTTTTTCTAAAAGTTTGTGGACCTACTTGGAAATAGTATAAGAAAGTTGGATGACAAAATTAATATTGTCTAAAAGTTGGTGGACCGGTTTCATATTATTGAATAGTTGGGTGACCAAATTAATATCTTCCAAGCATTTGTGATCGATTTGGTTTTAGAAAATAATTTGATAACCAATTAACTAATTCCTCATAGTTGGAGAACTCTATTCAAGATTACTTATAGTTGGATGACAGAATTAATATTTTCGAAAAGTTCCAGGTCAAATTTGGTATTATTTTATAATTGGATGACCAAATTAATATTTTCTAAAGGTTTGTGGACCTACTTGGAAATAGTATAAGAAAGTTGGATGACAAAATTAATATTTTCTAAAAGTTGGTGGACCAGTTTCATATTATTGAATAATTGGGTGACCAAATTAATATTTTATAAACATTTGTGGTCTAATTTGACACATACTCAGTTGGAGGACGGATTTGATGCATGATCAAAGTAAGAGGATGAATTTGTGGCATTCCTATAGAAGGACCTACTCAGCACGTGTTCGAAGTTTGAGGATCAATTTGTTGTATACTCATCGTTGGAGGACTAATTTACCCTATCATTACAGCTAGAGGACAAATTCCACGAATGAAGAAAGTTGGAGGACCATTTTATCCTGTCATCATAATTGGTGGAAAAGTTTGTTGCTCCTCATAGATGGAAAACGTATTAAGCGGATGATCATAGTTGGAGGATCATTTTGATGCATACTCATTCTTGAAGGATGATTTTTCATAGTATCGTAGTTGGTGGACCAATTTGATGCATAAGTAAAGTTTGGGGATCAATTTGTCTCATTTACAAAGGAGGAGAACTAATTTGTTGCAATCTCAAAGTTGGTGGATCAGTTCGTCGTATCCTAGTAGTTGGAGGACTAAATTGTCGTATTTTCATAGTTAGAGGATCAATATACTTTGGATTAAAGTTGGAGGTTCAATTTGTCCATGCTATAGTTTGAGGACAAATTTTTTGCATCATCATAGTTGGAGGACCAATTCATTGTACGACAAAGCTGGAGGATCAATTTGTCATATCTACATAGTTGGAGGATCATTTAGACCTATCATCAAAGATTGAGGACCAATATGTCGTATCACTATAGTTGGAGGACAAATTTTGTACATGAAAAAAGTTGGAGGACCGATTGTCGTATCATCATAGTTAGTGGACCAATTCGTTGTACGATCAAAATTTGAGGATAATTCTGTCATATACTCATAGATGGAGGACTAATTATTCGCATACTAAATAGTTCAAGGAACAAATCCGTATTTTTGATAAGGTTTGTTCCTATATCTTAAACCCTAAACCCCATACCCTAATTGGTCCATGAACTTTTAGAAAATATTAATTTTTGTCATCGAACGTTTTACTAATTCAAATTAGGTCCACAAACTTTTAGAAAATATTAAAAGTAATTTCAAATTGAGTCCGCAATCTATGAGGAACTAGTGAATTTGTTATTTAACTATTTCTGATTGCAAAAATAATTCTCCATCGTTTGTGATTATTAAACTGGTAATCTAACTACTTACAAATAAGAAATAGATTCTTAAGTTTTAGAAAAAAATAATTTGGTCATTAAAATATTTTTTTTAATCTCAAATTAAGCCTTCCAACTATAAGAAAACAGTCAATTCGTTAACTGAATGGAGTGCTCCAACTATGGTAAATGGTCAGTTGGCCACCCAACTATTCACTACTACAAAATATTAATTTCATCATCCAACTTTTTACTAATTCCAAATAAGTCCACCAACTTTTGGAAAATATTAATTTTGTTATCCAACTATATATAATCTTGAATTCAATCCCTCAACTATGAGGAATTATTAAATTGATCATCCAACTATTAACCATATATATACTCAAAAAAAACATACCGGAGTATACATGCATATAAATACACGAGTTTGTGTATTTGCTGCACATATTGAAGTAAATGAAGAAGAGGCTTAACCAATATGTTATAGCATGTTGTATATTCTGTATTATATAGACAACATACAAATAAAGAAAGACACAACAGAGAAGCTTTCCTAAAATACATAACATGTAAAGAGTAAATTAAACCATACAAGGCTAATTATATCTAGTTATACATGGCTAATTATCTAATTGTTGGAATATGATCTCTGATTGTCTAATTGCTGGAGTATGAATATTGATTGCTTAACATTTGCTGGAATATGATACGTGATTGTGGAATCTAATATGTGATAGGCTGATCTAATATAGATTACTTAACATCCCTCCAGAAACGTATGGGAAGATCGCAAACCATAAGTTTGTCTTTCAAGAATTGAAACTGAGATGATGTCAATGTTAGTTTGATGCCTTTTTGTAGTAAGTATATTGTAATGACATTATGAATTAATGTTCAATTATTCGCGTGTTAGAATTTGCTACAATAATCTAAGGTCCCATGATCATATGAAATAACAAATTGTATACTCGATGGTTTGGGTATAATGAGACATAATTCGTTATATGATCAAAATATGTTTTTTACAATCGGTACATGAAGTTGGACGCTTTATGTTGATAAGATTGCATTGTTCTTATCAAGAATTGTCTAGATCTGGGGATAAGAACAATAACGTGTTTTGAAGCACGTTGAATGGGACTGCGTAGATGACTCATTTGTGACCGCTCGAAATGAGACACCACTCATTTATCGAACAAGTCACCTAAATCTTAAGCAAGTAATGTACCTTTAATTGCTCATTCAAGTTTTTTGAGGTACCAATGAGTAAAGTCTTAATTAGAAGATCAATCTCGGTGCTTTGGGAATCTGGACGAAACAGTTAAAGATCATATACATGCAATAGTCAAATCCGTTAATTATCATGATGAAACGATCATCACTCTAAGATATTTTCTAAAGGGAATTGAATCTGAACTCAGTAGTCCGACGATTAGATCATTGGACTTGGTGTTGTGATGTGATAACAACGAATTCGCCTTATGAAATGGGACTTAGTGGGTAATACATGCTGAAGGGCAAAACAGTCATTTTATCAACTTCAACATATTGACGGTCAAACGGG